CTAAAAAGTGTAACGTGTAATCTTATATTTAAAGCAAATTTTGACTACTTTCTCACGGGTTTAGATGGATAAAAATGCTACCGTCGTATTCAGCGACCCAAAAAAATAAGATTACATGTATAACTTACGTTACACTTTGCAGAAATTGGCCTATTTTACCTAGCGTCCTATATTTAATAAAAACAATAGGTATTTAAGACGCAATCATTTTGAGGAAAAGCAAAAAAACACAATGGACATACGAATGGTAAGAATCTAAATAGAAATAAAAATTAATTCGAGTATTGAGTAAAGGTTACATAGTATATCTTAAAAAATAATGTAGTGCGAATAATTGCATAAAAGCTGAACCCATCTGCCTCTAAAAGGTCAAACTCGCAACTATTTATTCCGCTTTTAATTTAACGAAATAGATTAAAGAGATAACATCCGTATCATGTTGCAAACATAGATAGTTCCAAATAAAGAAAGAAAACTGTTGCGTTTACAAATTAATATTGTTACAAACGCATACGTGTATTACACATATTAATTGATGGTCATACGTGGTAACTCCAATCTTCCAAGATACGACTAATATAGCTTTGATGACAATGTCCACTGGTACTGCATCTTCAATAACATCTTTATTACCATAGATTACTCGTATTATTCCTTTTACGGCACCAATAGTAAGTCCTATTGGACCGTAAAGATTATCTACCCATCCTGGCATTGGTTCTTCTATTGATGGCGTCACTAAAACATGAGGTACATTTGTCTATTATTGTTAGATTATTACTTAAATCTCGTAAAATATTATTAAATTATTACTTGCACATAAATTATCAACCAAAATATAGAAGGAGGAAAAGGCTGTAAAATCCTATACATATTCTTAAATTCTATCTAATCTATCTAGTCTAATTCTATCGGAAGGGTCCCAATTGCCTACAAATCAATTGCCTACAGTGTCGTTTGCCAACATCTCATTTGCCGACAATTCGTTTGCGCACAAAAATTATTGCCTACAAGTCGATTGCCTACAAGTACTATTGCGCACAATTAAAAAATTAAGAGACGAATGGACGTTTGCACACA